TCATCGTGCTCCCTTCTTCTGTTTATGAGGATGAATAGTGATAGGACAAGGGGAATGGTTTTAAACTGAGACAGGGGAGTTTAAAGTTGGATATTAGAAGGAAGTTTTTCATCAGAGGGTGGTGAGGCACTGGAACAGGTTGCCCAAGGAGGTTGTGGATGCCTCATCCCTGCAGGCATCCAAGGCCAGTCTGGATGTGGCTCTGGGCAGCCTGGTCTGCTGGTTGGTGACCTGCACACACAGCAGGGGGTTGGAACTGGATGAGCACTGTGGTTCTTTTCAATCCAGGCCATTCTATGATTTCATTCATTTCATTTATTTTATTTTTTTTCCCTGCTCTTTCTTCTGCCCGTTTGGAATATTGCTTATGTGTTACGAAAAACCCGTGTGGGGCAGAGCACCAGTGGTGGAGCTGAATGACTGCATCGCTGTAGCGATGGGAGCTGCCATCACGGCTGTGCCTTTGAACTCTTGTCGTGTTACAAACACAGAGCAATGCAGCTGACGTGGGATTACGACAAACCCAACCATTTCAAGCTAATTATTTTTTCCTGTGTATATGCATCTGCTCATCCCTTTTTGAGCAGAAGCTATTCACGAGTAACTGTCTTCTTCTGTGTGCACCTTAGCTGAAAAATGAAGACAGCGATGATCAAAGATAGGGGACTTCTGTCCGTGATGCACTTTGAGCTCTGACTCCCTGTGTGTGAGGAATTCTGGAGGGAAGGGCTGGAGATGTTTGTTTTTGCAGTTACGTCCTTTCTCCGGCGCTGCGGGGCGGTGTTTGCTGGCAGCACTGATAGCAGCACACGGCCATGTGGTGCTGCCCGCCCTGACACTTGTCCTCATTATGTGTCAGAGCAGCGGTGCCCTGTTCTGTAAGTTGCTCCTCCCCATGCTTCAGATTACGTGGAATTAAAGGGATTTAAAATGCAAGATGTCCTAAGAGAAATATCTCCAAGTTCAGCCATGCTGGCGGTTACACAACTGAGTGCACTTCCTTTTAGTGCACTCCTCTGCTGCCTCTAAGAAAAGTTCTGAGAGCAGTGTGTGGAGCAGCACTTTGTGTCCCCTCCTCACATGTGGAGCTGTTCCTTGAGCACTGTGCCCTGCTGCCAGGCTGCTCTTCCATCCTGGGTACTCCCAAGTGGCTCTCGGATCCCATATGAGAACATAAAGGCTCTGCTTTTTCTCGGGGTAGAAGGAAAGCCCTTGGCTCCAAACTGCAATTCTCACCAATCTGCCCAACGTCAGCTGGAGAACATGGTGGTCACATTAGGACTTTATCTCTAGGAGCATCGCTCTGCTGACACGTGGATCTGCTCCCAGCTGTGTGCCATGCACTGCTCTGTCTGGCACAGAGGTTCTGCTCCTCGTGGGACTCGAGCTGCTTTGGACATAAAAGCCCTCCCAGCGCTATGGTTTTGATTAGCAGTGACTTAATAATTGTTGATGGGTGACATCTGAGCCAGTAAACACAAGCGTGTTTCCAAGTCTGGCTATCTTCAGCTCTTCATGGAGGATATACATAAACACAAAATCTTGATTCACTCCTTAGCTATTCTCTGTGCTGATGCACCAATAGCTCCATGTAAACACTGGGGCTCTACTCCTCTGAGCCTCCGCAGCAGCGCTGTCCCTTCACGCCGGTTGTCAGCCACAAGCACTCGTGCTCCTAGGGCAGATGTCAGGTTGATGTCCCATTGCTTCTCCAGGAAAGGAGTGTTATCAGCTGTGATATAGTAATAAATAACCACTAAAATCTCCCGTTAAAATCGGTGTAGAGCAAAATGGCCGCGAGTCTGCAAACCGCTCTCTGGCACTGCTTTGCTCTCCCTGCCTCATCCTTTGCTGCATCTTTTGGATGTGTGGAGAGTGCTCCATACCCCATCTGAAAGTGGCATCCCTAGTCTGTCCTGTTTGGAATGCTCTTAGAGGCAGTGCCAGTGCCTGGTGTGTGCTAACAGCGGGTTCTCTTCCTTTGCAGAATGGGCAGGCTGCTCCAGAGGAAGGCGGGAACCCTCCGTGCAAGGTAAAGCCGCAGCAGGGCCAAGTCCTTCACCGTCACTCTGAGCTGCATGCAGTGTGTGCTGGCGGGTGAATGGGCTGAGGATGGCTATTTTAAAATCCTGTAAGCTGCTGCTTTGTAATCTGGATGAGTGCGTGCTGGAGCATGGGGGGCCGGAGTGGGGGAGGAGAGCAGGCAGACCCTCTTTTCCCCACCCCTTCGGTTATCCAAACTCACCTGGGCCATCCCAAAGCACTGCCGGGAAGCAGCATACTGGAATCGGACAGCAGCCAGAGCAGAGGGCTCAGGTGAGAATCGCTGGAGTGTTTCAGGCCGTTTCGGTGCCTCAAAAGCAGAAGCCCTTCAGAATTTCCTTCTCTGATGCACACATGCTGTAGCTATGGGGAGCAAAGCCGTGTGTTTGCTTTGGCTTGGGAGCCCTTGCTGCATGGACTGTCTGGAGCTTGTCCTGCTCCTCACAGCAAGCACCCTGGTCTGTTGTTCGTGCTGAGGGACCTGGAGAGTTATGGCAATGCTTTCCCAGTTGGTCACCGTTACACATTTAGTAAAGGAAATTTAAGCCGAATTCAATTGGCTGCTTCTCAGCTTGTTCTTTTCCAGAAACTTACACTGAACTTCCAGCGCTGTTGTTACATCTCAGCCACCTGTTCTGCCCTTCTGGGCTGGCTGATGGACTGGCACCCCATCACAGGAAAGCTGGATGAGCTCAGATCAACGACACTGTGCACTCCTCTCCCCTGAGATGATGGCTATATGGTTCCTCACCATTCCCACATCTCTGGCATGGAAGAGAATATCTGTCTCTTGTGGTTGGATTCCAGCTGGGCTTCTAAGGCTTGAGCGTTTGCCTCTTTGATCATCAAGTACTTGGCTGAACTGCCCTCCTGGTACTGTGGGTGCCAGCGTCCTGCTTTGCCCTCTGCTGAGTTGCTGCATCCGTGTGCTGTGCTGACAACACCATTTTCAGTCATTTTTAAATGCAGAGTCCTCCTGAAATAACCTCTGGTGCGTTTTCCAAGTTTGTACAAGGTGTACGTTCTACAGGCACGAAGACAAATGAAATCCCTGCTATAAACACATACCTTTCACTTAACTCTGGCACTCTGCACCAGCTCTGGCGCTCTGGATGGGGAAGCAAGCAGGCAGCAAACTCAGTATCTCTGTTTTTCTGCTTGCTTGGGAGCTGACGTCAGCAGCAGATTGTGGCACTGCCTCCTCTTACCTACAGCAAGGACTAAAGAAGGAGAAGAAAGCAGCAGCAAACACCTGAGGCTACGTGTTTGTGAGAGGAAAGCTGCTCAGGGTCTCTCCCATACCCGTCTGTTCTAGCTCTGCTGCTGCTGTTCTCGAGCTGGGGTGCAGGAGGCACTCCATGTTGGGTTTGTGCTTTCATCCTTTGGTGGCTCATTCTGTGATCTCTGCTAAAAATAACTAGAAGCAGCAACAGTGGAGATTCCTCAACGCCCACACGAAGTGCCATCCCTCCCTCTGTCCCTGTCAGTGGGATGCTGCCAGAAACAAAACCTTTATCTGCTTGGGCAAGAACCAGAGTAACATGAAGGAAATCCCAGGGTTCCTCAAAAGAGTTGGGAATTTGGCAGCTGGCAGCACAGGGCTCTGACACCTTCATCTTCTCCCTCCCATCCCACCTGTGGCTTTTGGGTATGAAGCACAGCAGAACGATTGCTGCAGATGAAGGGAGAGGAGGTCTGGGCTTGGCTGCCTGTGGTTTGGGAACAGCTGGGCAGCCCTCAGCCTCCTTCCAAAGACAGCTCAAGCATTTCACAACTCCTGGCTTCTATTCCTATGTGGATTCCCACCTTTCAAGAACAGCCGTGGTGCGCAAGTCCTTGCAAGCATTGTACCTCACTGTGTTTATCTGAGTATCTTGGAAATGCCTGCAAGATTCTGCAGGTCATGCAGAGCATTATCTGGAGTGACTGCCCCCCCCTCGCGTGGTCAGAGCCATCCCAGCAGCATTCCAGCAGAGCGGCACTGGGATTTCCAAGCCAAACCCTCACCTGACAACATCCTACATTGCTAATGCCTTGCTTATCTGGCTGTTCCCACTGTAAGAGTTTGCAGTCTGCCAGGCACTCCTGGCAGCATCCCTAGAACCGGATTACAGAATCACAGAATCACAGAACTGTAGGGGTTGGAAGGGACCTCCAGAGATCATCGAGTCCAACCCCCCTGCCAAAGCAGGTTCCCTACACCAGGTCGCACAGGTAGGCATCCAGGCAGGTCTTGAACATCTCCAGAGCAGGAGACTCCACCACCTCCCTGGGCAGCCTGTTCCAGTGCTCCGTCACCTCACCGTAAAGAAGTTCTTGTGCACATTTGTGCGGAACTTCCTGTGCTGCAGTTTCCAGCCGTTTCCCCTCGTCCTGTCTCCACTCACCACTGAAAAAAGTCTGGCCTCGCCATTCTGCCCCCCACACCTTAGATATTTATAGACCTGGATCAGGTCCCCTCTCAGTCTTCTTTTCTCAAGGCTGAACAGACCCAGTTCACTCAGCCTTTCCTCATAGCAGAGATGCTCCAGGCCCTTCACCATCTTCGTGGCCCTCCGCTGGACTCTTTCCAAGAGATCCTTGTCTTTTTTGTACTGGGGAGCCCAGAACTGGACACAGTACTCCAGATGAGGTCTTACCAGGGCAGAGTAGAGGGGGAGGATCACCTCCTTCGACCTGCTGGACACGCTCTTTTTAATGCACCCCAGTAAGCCATTGGCCCTCTTGGCCACAAGGGCACACTGCTGGCTCATGGCCAACCTGTCATCCAGCAGGACACCCAGGTCCCTCTCCGCAGAGCTCCCCTCCAGCAGGTCATCCCCCAACCTGTACTGGTGCATGGAATTATTCCTCCCCAGATGCAAGACTCTACACTTGCTTTTGTTAAACCTCATCCGGTTTTTTTCTGCCCAGCTCTCCAGCCTATCCAGGTCTTGCTGAATGGCAACACAGCCCTCAGGCGTGTCAGCCAATCCTCCCAACTTCGTATCATCAGCAAAGTTGTTGGATTGCTGATCCAACCGCATTGAGCAGGAGAACTTTGGACAAGATGGGTGCAAGTGTGTCTGCTTTTGCTTTTCTCCCTGTTGATGGTGGTGTTCAAACAATTTGGCACTGGCTTTCAGCCATCAGCAGTGCCCTTGATACACTTTCAGTGCAACTTCCCCAGCGCAGCAGAAGGTCTCTTGCTTTGCTCCCACAGCTGCTCTGTGCCAGGGACTAATTGCCAGCGCCGTGCGCTGCTCTCCAGGGACCAAACCTCATTCTCTCTTATGTTCTCTAGATTTAATTGTCAGGTAGGCTGAAGATCGGTCCTTGTTCAGCTGCGAATGGCAACAGAGGACTCAAATTGAGTGGAAAAACAGAACCTGTCGTCATTGGGGTTTTACAGCCAGCTTTGCTGAGGGGTGAGCACGTTCTCCCCGAAGGTGCTGAGTGTGAGGAATTGTACATGAAAGTACAGCACCCAATTAGTGAAATCACTTCATAATGAAGAGCAGAGGAGTGGATTTACAGCACTGAGTGTGCCCACTCTCTGGAGGTAACGCTGGGAGCACTGAGCAGTTTGTTCTTGGGTGATAATCACAGCGCGCAGTGAAACCTGGGGAGGTGAATGAGTAACCTCTTCCAGCTCTGCTTTATGCCATAAAAGAGACCTTTGAGACAGGAGCAGGGAGCTGCTGTCATGCCAAGCATGAGGCGCTCCATCGCAGCGCAGTGCATTGGTGCTTGGTCACAGCTGTGCTCTCCAGCAGCCCGCTCTGCCCAGCTGTGCGCTCAGCACCGCAGGGACCTCCAGCTGGAGGCTGAGCACCAACAGGAGGGCGGCGGAGGGATCCTCACACAGAATGCGGCTCCGATCGCAGCCTCTTCACGAGAAGCTTTTAAAACAAACAAACGGAGCACTCTTCTTTGAAGCAGCGACCTGCTGTGTTTGCACAGCTGCTGCAGTTTTCTGCAAGAGTCAGAAAGCTGCTGAGTGTGGGAAGAGACAGGTATCTCAGCAAAGGCATCCTCTGCCCAGTGCCCCTCCTTGTTCCTTCCAGCTGCGTAGCAAAGTGTGCTCTTGCTGGTTGCGTCCCTGAGCCCTGGGTGCAGAACAGCACAGCCTGCCTGCAAACCCTCCTGGCCCGGCTGCAGGGATTGCATCTTTCCATGTGTAGTCTTTCAGCCTGGCAGTGGCGGAGCTCTGGGCCGAGCTGGCTGCTCTGTGATGCCAGCTGAAGTCATCGCGTGGTTTTGTTTTCAGTGCAGTGCCCAACAGCTCTTTGTGCTCAGCGGGGCAGGCGATGGTTAACAGCAAGTGTCTGAGCTCCTTAAAAACACAGCAACGAAATGCCTGCTTGAGAAGCAGAGCCTCTCTGATAAGTTGCAGGCTCTAATGAATAATTGAAGAGGGGTCATTTTGCAGGAGTGCATGTGAGGAAGGCAGGTCTGGGAATGGCCCTCCCGCACATTGATATCTGACCGATCAGAACTCTGCTCTGCTTTCTCCTCTTCCATTTCCAATCCACCTCATTGATTAATAGAAATTGCCGCAAGGTCCATCTCCCAGAAGCCTCTTTCACTGGCAAAAAAAACCAACTACACAAAACCTCTTTTGCCATATGGAGGAAACCTGTGTCATCCATCTGCCCACCAAAGTTCAAAGGAATGAGCTTTGTGCCGTGTGGGAAAAGTCCTCACCTTCAGGTACCAAAAATGAGAGCGCTTGTCCCTTGTTTGTACTTGAAAGCAGCACAGCTTCTAACACAGGTCTGGGAACACTGAACTGGCTGAACGGAATTTTTTTGTGCTCCATAAGCGCTCTGAGATGGGGTGCTATCGATTTCCTTGCTGCACTGCTCTGGCTGGGCTGGTTGCAGTGTGCTGGGTGTGTGCACACAGGGAGGTGCGCTGAGCCAGGTTGGCTCTGTGCTGGGTGTGTGGGGCTGCTGCTGCTGCGTGCGAGCAGAGCGATGCTTGGTGCTCTGCAAGCACAGGGGGGAAAAGAAGCTGCCTAAGAGACAGTCTGAAAATGTGCTGTCTTCTTGCACATCTTGCAAGTAGAAAGCTCCTCACAGCCTGCGTGGTGGGAGGAGTGTGGAATTCCTGCATCAATGTGATAGAATAGTTTCCACATCCCATGACAGCTCCAGGGGCAGCAAACAGCTCGTGGTGAAAGCAGTGCTGTGTTCTCAGATTCAGCCAGAAAGAGCCTGCGTGTTTTGTGTGAGGGCAGCGTGGCTGCGCAGCGCGCTCAGGTCGTGCCTCAGTGCTGGTTCCTAAGGGTAACGTTCTGCATTTAGAAAAATGTGGCAACAGGCCAATGTTTTGGTGCTCCTGCTCCAACGAGTCAAGAACCAGCTGAGCGGATGCATGGGGACGTTATAGAGCATGGCTTGCCTTGCCATGGCCAATTTCTACCTCTTCCTTTCTTCCACCTCAGGCTTTATCCCTCTATCAGTTCCTAACCCCCCATTTCGGGGCGCCGTCTGTTCCACAGATGGTTACAAAATGAGCCCTTCCTGCTTGTTCAGGACTTTGCAGAAGCTCCGAGTGCCACCTGCTGGAATGTGCCCAGCTGGCCCCGGGGAGCCCGCTGCCTTCCTCCCTCTGCATCCCGCAGTGGGACGTGGCAATGGGAGAGGACAGTGGCACAGCACAATGGCACAGGACAGCCTGTGCTGTACCCCTGGTACCTGCTGCCCACTGCCCTGCCAGAGGTCCCACACTGTTCCTGCTGCTCCTCTCGTTGCCCAGGAGCACCAACATCTATTTGTGTCCTCCAGGATTCTGCAGCATTTCCTTCCTGTTACTTCTCCCTCCACCTCCACAGAAGGAGGTGTGGATCATTTTCTGGCATACAAAAGAAGTGAACTTTTGCTGTGCTAAAAGAAAGCACCCACTAAAAAAAAAAAAAAAAACACAACAACAACAACAACAACAAAAACACGGGTGGAACTGCTCCTTCTGAACACCAAACAGGGTAAAAGTGGACTGTTTAGCTAATGTGTTAAGGTGACAAATACAATCCCAAACACCAGGGCTCCTGATGTGACACTGGGGGACGTGGTCAGTGGGCATGGCGGTGATGGCTTGATGGATACTAGGGGTCTTTTCCAACCTCAGTGATTCTGTGATTCTAAGAGAAGAGGTCTTAGGCAGAAGGGTTTTAGACCTGCTTGTGGTTTCAAATTGTTGTTGCTGCTTAGAGCAATAGGAGGTGCAGGGTTGATATGATGGCTGTGCTGCACAGGGCACGGTGTGGGCATGTGGTGACATTCCACTGCTCCCAGCAGGGCTTGGAGCAGCTGCAGGAATGCTGGGAAGTGTTGGGGTGCAGCATCCTGTGCAGGAAACCAGCATCACCCCCCTGAAGAGCTGATAGATAGTAAGACAGTGAGCTGCTTGTGAACAACTTGTTGCTTCCTTTTGCATCAAAATGGCTTCTGCCTCGAGGGCTGAGTGTGTTTGTGGCCACATTCCTTCTGTTGGTGCCTCCTCAGCCCCTGGCAGCCCTGGCAGCCTGTGCCCAGTGCTGACTGTGGGCAGGGACAGCCCTTGGCTTGCAGCAGGGATGGTTGCCTGGTGGGTTCCTAGGGCAGGGAATGTACCTGACTGCTCCCAGAGAGCTCCTGGGGGCACCCACCAGAGAAGCAGAGGCAAACGGACGTGGTTCTGCTCAGTTCTTTGGTTGCGCACAACAGCAGCCATCAGCCTTGTCCAAATAAAGTTTGTGCATGAGGGAAGGCAGTGGCTGGTGAGGTTTCTTCGCTTTGTAAGTTCCCCTTTTTGAGAACTACCACTTTAAAAGAAAAACAACAAAAAAACAGTTCCAGACAGAGGTCCCACTGCTTCTTTAGTCTTCACAGCAGCAAAAAGTGCATTTCTTTCCTGTGCACCTCCTACTTCCCGTTTGCCCCAAGCTCTGCAGTGGGAGCACCACGTACCTGATATGGAATAAGGTTTACAAGCAGCTGAGATCTCCCCAGAGGTCAAACTCAGATCTTCTGGAAGTGTGATATGGGAAGGCTGGTTCAGCCTGGCTTTCTCCTGCCCGTCGCGTGTTCTTGTGCTGTACTGCATGCTCCTGTGAATACATGGCAGTGATACTGGTGAAGCAGCTGGGTAACTTTAGAAGCCATATACGGCATCTACTTTGCATAGATGAAATGCAGATGGCCTCTTGAAGGGAGCTAGGAGTAAGCACATGGCTTGCTTTTTTCCTTACAAGCAGACACTGGAAGAGGATTGGCTCAGAGCCGTAGGACCGAAGCCCTCCTGCAGCCCCTCCAGGGCCTGTGGCTGTGCTGCCCCACATGAGCATTCCCAGTTCCCATCTCCTCACCTCCTTTCTGTGTCAAGATATCTCCATGTCAGAGAGCAGTGTCATGGTGCAGGAGCTGACCCCAAGCCAGCAGGCAGCATTGCGCAATACTCACCAGATGTCAGTGTGCTGGGCTCACATGGGGCCTCACAGCACTTTCTAAAAGCCCTGATGCAGCAGGATGCAGGTGGCCGAGCTGAGACTCCAGCGTGGGGCAGAGGCAGAAAACAGCTCCTTCTGACCCGTTTCCTGGAGAGCTGCAATCCAGCACTGGGGGACTGATGCTGGAAACAGCGTTTGTGGCGCTCAGAAGAAGAGCAGTGTAACTTTAGGGCTGAAGGGGCTCAGCTGCTATATGCTGCCTCACGTTGCTCTGTCTGTGACGTGGGACCACAGTACGTGTCCTCTTGGAAAGCCTGCTGAGATTTGCTGGTGGAAAGAGCCATGACAGAGCACCCAGAAGTCATCTGGTGTTCGTGTTGAGTTGATGGTGCTGTGCAGCCATCACCACACAGTGCAATTTCCCCACATGAAACCGCAGTTTCCTTTCAGCAAAACTCCCAAAATACATCCCAGTGACGTAACTACTACTTGGGGTTCTTGTGGCAGTCTGGGCGCTGCAGAGAGCTCTGGGTTCAGAAGCCAGCTTGCAAACTATGGGAGAATAGCAGCCTAAAGCACTGGAGATGTTGAGGCTCCTCTTCCGCACCAAGCCAAGGATCCAGGAGGCAAGTGTCTAGCTGTAAGGTATCTGCTGTGCACAGCCCGGCGCTGTCTGCTCTGCAGGATGCAGGGAGGATTGGGGAACCTCCTGCTCTCAGAGGGCCGGCCCTGATCCTGTCTGCATTAACGACTTCTTTCTCGCAAAAGGCATTTCTGATGGTAAAGCTGCTTTCCTAGAAGTCTTTCCTAGGTGCTGCCAAAATTTGGGGACCGGAGCATGTGCGAAGCAACAGAAATTACAACAGCTTCTGGTTAGTTGTTGATGAATAGGAAGCGAAATGCCAGAAGCATAATCTGCTTTTAGCTTTTGCATTTTTTTTTCTTGCATTTCGATGTGACTGTCTCAACCATCAAAGTGACAGAACGCGAGCAAAAACAAACCTGTCTCTTGGCTTCTGGTTCGCAAAAGCTTTCCTCAAAAAGGAGAAAGCAGGAAGGAGGACTTGGATTTTGTATTTGAAGCGGCACGTGCCCCCAGCCCTGGCATGGGATGAGCCATCTGTGCCGAGAAGTTCACCAGAAGTCATCTCCTGCACCCACTTCTGCAACTTGCTGTGCTCAGAGCTGCCAGGCACGCATGGCTGCGCTTTTCTTTTCCAGGAGCGTGGAGGTGATTTCCCCAGCGTGCAGGAATTTGCAAGATGGCCTCCCCTGGGGCTGCGGGCAGGAGATGGCTGCTGTTGTGCTGATGGGGTTGGACCACAGGACCTGCGCTTGTGCAATGGGTTCATGCCTGGCGGAAGGTGTCGGGGTGGGACAGCCCTTCCTCACACCCCCAGGGAGATGCAGCGAGGGAGGAAGGGGAAGAGGTGAACAAAGGGCCCCTCTGATGTGATACAGTCCTTCCGGACTTGAAATCTGTCAGTTCTGAGCGCCGATCTGCAGCTTTGCCGCACCTCCTTTCCCTTGGGGTTCACCTTTCCTCTCCCCACTTGTGCTCCTGTGCTGCTTTCTGACTTGCTGGAAGAGCAGCAGGAGCTCAGGACTCTCCTGCACAGACCTGTGGGCTGAAGGCTTGCACCCTGGGGGAAACATTGCAAATATGTTTGGATTATTCTGATCTGATTTTTTTTGAGTGTTTTTTTCTATCTGAGCTTCAGCTCATTCTCTCAAAACCAAACCAAAGAGCACCCGTGTGATAGCATATCTACGTGTACTCATAAAAACATAGCAGGCTTCAGGATCTAAGCTCTGTCCATCCAAACCTTCTTCCCTGTCTGAGTTCCTCCGAGGAGAAAGAGCCGTATCCGAGCTGAGAAGCACTTATTTTTTAAACTCCCTTTAAACTTTCCTTAGTCTCACCGTAAGGTTTTGTAGCATTGCATCTGGTCCCAAAGTGTACACCAATATCTCTGCTGCTGCTCAGGCCTGCATTGGTCTTGCCCTGCCCTGCCCTGGAGGGGTGCAATGAGGTTCAGTGTTTGGACATGTTCCTACAGCTGCTTCAGGAGTGCTGGGCCTCCCTCTTTCGCAGCAGTGCTTTGGATCACGGGGAGCACGGATCCCATTGCCAGCACCGTGCGTCCTTCTCCACTGCCTGTCGGAGTCTGTCCAAGGCTCCAACAGCAGCTGGCTCCTCCTGCTCTCCTGGAACCACCACCAGATCAGGGCATGCAGTGGGACGTGACCAGGGGCTGCAAGCAGCTCGCCCACTGCCTGAGCGAGTTTGCTGGGAAAGCTTTAGCAGAGTATTGCAGACCCTTTGTGCTGACACTTATTTATTGTTCTGCAGGCAAAGTCAGACATCACTTGGGTAGAGAAAGATCTGGTGGACCCTGCAGACAAGGTAAGAGAGCCTCTGGGAGAGTGGTGCACTTAATGGCATTTGTCCTGTGGTAGCATGTATGAGGGGGAATTGTTGCTTGCAGGGACCCCAGCACCATGCCTGCCTTGCAGATTTACCTGCAGACCTGTCTCCGCTCAGTGGAAGTGCTCATGGAGTAAGCGGTGCTTAGTCACTTGCTCATGTGACATTCCAGACTTGACTTCATCCTCCTCCTCCTTCCTGCCCACACCAAACCCCTTTATGTGCTGTTGTTCTTGTCTCCTGCCACATTCTGATCTTGTTGGCTTGCAGGGCTCTGCTGTTGAGCTGTGTGGGCACAAGGTGGCTTCTTCAGGGAGCTGAGTGGTGGTAACTCAACACTTAACGTTGTGGTGGTCAGAACAAAATTCATCAGATCTAAATAGCTCCAGGCGCATCTGCAGAGAGCTGTTACTGCAGCTCCTGTGGTGATGCTCATCTGCATCCCTGCAGAGCAAAGGAGGTCAGAATGAGCTGAGGCTCTGGAGAGAACGGTGGAGCGACTGTGCAGTGCTGTCCCATGCTGCTCTGTGCTCCCAGCCCCTTGCTTTGGGATCATCACCAAGTGCTGAGGCTCTCCCTGCAGAGCTGGCACCGGCTGGCTTGCTGGCGTTCAGTCATTTGATTCTTTCATTACTGGTTATCAAAGAGCATGGTACAGGGGTGGAAGAGGCAGGACTGTCATAAATGGGCTCTCTGAGTCCCCTTGTCAGACTGTGTTCTGCAGAAATTCAGAAGTCAACACCAGCACAGGGTTATTTCTAGTTGCAAAGATGCGTGGGCGTCACTGTACCCATCTCAAGGGCTTTCTTTCTGACCTACACTCAGAGGGTGCTGCTGCATTAGACATCAGTCCAGACTCCATGAAAAGGTCAAAGGAAAATATGGGTTTGGAGGGGGAATGAAGCAAAAAGGATTGGGTTTGAAATAAAAATGAAGGGGTAGGTGTAAACCCCGATGGTGGCAGAAGGTTGGTGATAGGACCAGAGGGAATGGTTTCAAGCTACGGCAGGGGAGATTCAGGCTGGACATTAGGGAGTATTACTTTTCAGAAAGGGTGGTCAGGCACTGGAATGGACTGCCCATGGAGGTGGTGGAGTCACCGAGCCTGGGGGTGTTCAAGGAAAGGCTGGATGTTGTGTTGAGGGACATGGTTTAGTGGGAGCTATTGGGAATAGGTGAACGGTTGGACTGGATGAGCTTTTAGGTCTTTTCCAACCTTGGTGATTCTATGATTCTATGATTCTAAGGTTCACCATGGAATTGGCACCCACCACATCTCACTGAGGGTGACCATCATCCCTGTGGGAGAGCCAACAGAAGTGCTGCCAGACTTCTGCGTGGGGGTTCATTCATCTTTCTCTTCCTTTTAAAAGAGACAGAGGCTTATCAGCATATTCTCCTGTTGTGGAAATACCCACAATGTGAGCATGGCACATGGTGCTAGATGGAAGTCAGACTTTGACCTACACCATGCACGTTTTCAGATGCTGTCATTTCACATGCTGTCAGAGAGCATCTTTTCTGAGCCAGGGAAGGGAAATCGAATGTGAACACGGAGCTGTGAGATTTTTTTTGAAAGCAAAACAGCAACAACAAAAAAAAGCCCCAACCACAAGTGCCGTCAAGGAGCATGAACCTGCCTCCGTGTGACCAAATAGCTCATCTCCGCTACACGTCTGCCAGCGGGCTTTAATCACCCGCATCTCCTCCAGCGTGGCGGTGTGTTGGTGTCTGTGTGCCCATGCCAGAGCCTCCCCAGCTCCAGGGGCTCCCCGAGGTGGTCACTGGGACCCTGCAATGTTGAGCGGGATGGGAGAATGGAGAGGGACCCCAAGCTGCCCCGCATCTGCGCCTTCCTCACACTGTGGCTGCACAGGAAGCACCGAGCAAAGCCCTGCAGCCTGCAGCTGCCAGCCCCCAGCCCGCTCCCCAGCCCGGTCAGTATGTAGGTTGTGTTGCCTGCTGCTCATCCTGGTGGGTCAATGCTTTAGATGAATGTTCTGGTTTGCTTTTGTCTTTGTGCCTTGTGGGGTGGTTTGCTTTGTGGTGCCGTTGTAAGAAACTCATCGTGGTGCAGTGAAGGCTCAGTGGCACGTGGGGGCTGTTGTGCTGGAGATGTGTGGTGGTGTAGGACTTGGTCTCAGAGCTGCAGGTTGGGCTGCGGAGACCCTTTGCAGCTCAACACGATGGGTCTTGCCATTGGCCAAGGCAAAGAGTTCCCACAGCTGTGGTATGAGGAGGTGTCTTGGAGGTAGACATAGTGTTCATTTTGAATGTTCCTCTCTGCAAAAGTGTGTGAAGCTGCAGGGTGAAATACGTGGCAGCGACATGTAGGTTTGTTTTCTCTCTTGAGTTTTCATGAAGATGGCAGGAGGGAGGGAAGGAGCCCAGCAGCCTGCAGACAGCCCTGTTGTGACACAGCCAGCCTGCAGGGTGTTTGTTTTACTGTGCCTAACGGTTCATGTAATCTCACACAGCCCACATTGGCACCTGGAGGCCATGGAGACCTATAGGCCAACTGTTGGCTGGAGTTGGGAAGCTGTTCCTGACCAACAGCTGTTCGCCGTGGGCAGAGCCTCCAAACAAAACTGGAGGTGTAAGATGGTTGAATGAAGCTGAGAGATCACATGGAATGTGAGACCTTGTTGTCATAGAGGTTGTAATATCTTCCCTTGCTGTGCTCACTGAGATTTGCTTAGTGGGCATGGAGGGGATGAGTTGATGGTTGGACACGATGATCTTAGAGGTCTTTTCCAACGTTTATGGTTCTACAAGTGGGGATGGGGGGAGTGGCTTGACACTTTGACTAGATGATCTTAGAGGTCCTTTCCAACCTTCGATGGCTCCATGATTCTGTGACACAGGGGGAGCTTCTGTCTCATCACCCTCTCCATGCGCTCAGACTGCATTGTGCATGGGTCTCTCTGCCAGATCTGAGTATCTGGATGTCGCAGGATCCCAAGAGAGCAAAGCTACCAACAGACACGGAGCAAAGCCCTACCTTGTGTAGTGAAAAGCCAAGCACAGGAGTGGGAAAGGAAGGGTGCTCAATGTTGTGCTGCAGGCAACAACCACATCCGTGTGCTCTGTGAGGAGGAGCGAGGGTGGGAGCTCAGTGTGTGCGGGAGGCAGAGTCTGCAGCTCAGTTCCTGTTGTTTTCTAAAAGCTTTGATTAGGTGGGTTCCGGAGTGAGTATCTGAGTAGCTCTGGAAAACAAGCTCTGATTTTCCCCCTGCTTGGCAAGGGGGAAATCTAACTAGTAACTAGTAAAAGAATGTGTTTTAAACAAAACATGTGCCAGAGACCTTGGCTTCCCCTCAATCTTTCTGAAGGCTTGAGTCTGTTAAAAGCATCATCTGTATGTGCTGAAGATGCACCAAGGCTTATGTTGCAGAGTTGCTCAGATTGCCGAGCAGATGGGCTCCAACATGTCTGATTTTTGCCAGCCCTGGCCATGTTTTGACAACACCACCATATTTTTGTGTTGTGGGATTTTTAGTGGCATAAACACTCCTGTTTTTGCCACCAGTGCCTTAAAAAGGAAGGTGCTTTCAAGCACTCATCTAAAATGCAGGACAAAAGAATGCAACACCTCTGGTGCTGGGGAGAGTGTAGGGTTGTAATGGTGCTGCCTGGTGGAAGCCCACTGGGGGCTGCTTTGTTCCGGATGTTGAAGCCAGCAGATAGATGTGACCAGCCCTTATGGCTCTCTCAGATGTGGTTCCTGTGAGTCTGAAGCTGCAATCCTTCTTCCTTGACTCAATTAGACCTTTTTCTCCTTGTTTAGTATATTCACAGCCAACCGTGTCTCCTCTTTTCCAGGGCGAGGGTGTTGTGAAGGAAATCAACATCACGCACCATGTGAAGGAGGGCTCTGAGAAGGCTGACCCTTCTCAGTTTGAGCTTCTGAAGGTTCTGGGACAGGGCTCTTTTGGCAAGGTGAGCTCAATC